AAGTTCCATAAATGGCATCACCTCGAGGGCTATTATTTTCCCCTAAATAGTTCTTCGGTTTTCTGCGCCTAAATATACTTCTTAAGGAGCCAACTTCTTAATTGTCCTCTGGGACTATTTTCTGCTGATAATCTTTCGTCAGAGGGTTGCCAAAGCTTGTGGTTTCTCCCATTCTATCTGTCTATCTTTCTATCTATATTTTTCTTTCTCTTTCTCTCTGTCTCTCTCTGTCTCTCTTTCTCTCTCTCTTCTCTCTCTCTCTCTCTCTCTCTCTCTCGCTCTCTTCTCTCTCTCTCTCTCTTCTCTCTCTTCTCTCCTCTTCTCCTCCTATCTATCTATCTATCTATCTCTCTCTCTCTCTTTCTTTCTTGTTTAATAGCATTCTAGGTCCTTTGTCCATATATTTTCAAGTAGCATTTCTTTTTCCTTTATTCCGTTGACGTTATTTCAGTACCTCAGCTAATTGAATGGAGAAATATATGTACAGATTGGCGCCTTACTCCCCCTCCCCCTACCCCTGTCTACCCCCAAAACCCTCCCCTCCCCTCCCACCACATTCTCCCACATCCATACCACCCCTCCTCCTCCCCCGCCCCAGTCCCCAACCCCCACCCCTCCGCTCCCCTCCCTTCCCCTCTCCCCCTCCCATATATAGACCCCTCCCACAGAATGACGGACAAGGCCCAAGCGAGTAGTCGATTGTTAGTCATGTTTCAGATTTCTACCCTCTCCCCCCCCTCCCTCCGCATCTATCCCCCCTCCCTCCCTCCCCGTGCCCCACACCTATCCCCCCCTCCCCCCATGCTATCCCCCCTCCCCCCCTCCCCCCCTCCCTCCCCAATCTCATCTTACCTCCCCCCCTCCCTATCTATACCACCCTCACCCCCCCTTCACCCCCCTCCCTCCCCCACCGTTCAGCCCGAATCCTTCATACGTGGCAGGTTTTCCAGTCTCTTATAGCGGGCCTGACGGAGAAGCGATCCTGACAGCCAGATAGCCAGCGTCTGATCGAGGATGTCAGCAATATGGTAGCTGTTTTTTTTTTTTTACTTGTTGAATCTGTTTACTGTGGATTGACGTTGTTTACTTACTTATTTATTTGCTTACTTGTTTATTTACTTGTTGATTTACTTGGCGATCGCGCGGGATTGATAATTTCGTTTGTGCTGTGACTATCTTCTATTTTATGGAATACTGTTGTTCTATATTACTGTCATTGCGATAAAGAAAATAATTTACAAATGTGCTCACAAAAAGCGCCTTCACACACGACACAAAATCAATGGGAAACAAATACAAAATAAAACAAAAAAAAAAAGCATATTTAGCAACAGGCATTAACAGAATCAAACGACCGCCATTTATAAAGAAAACTATTTTCCCGCGCTCTAAAATTCCCATAAACTTGCACCAAAAAAAAAAAGCATTCTATCCTCACCTAAACGGCAGCAATTGCAACCTGGATTACTACGAACGCGAGACCGGATTCACCGACTGCATGCGCGCTCATTACGCGAACGGTCGGATAAGCTCTTCGCGATGTGACTCGAATCTTCACGGCTTTGGGTTATTTCCTGCGAGTTACACGCTAATGGCCGTCGCTGGGTTTCTCTGCTTTATTGTCTTTCTTGTTCTCCGCTGTTTCAATGGTCTTCTTCTCTGTCTGTCTGTCTGTCTGCCTGACTCTGTCTGTCTGTCTGTCTGCTCTCTCTCTCTTCTCTCTCTCTCTCTCTCTCTCTCTCTCTCTCTCTCTCTCTCTCTCTCTCTCTCTCTCTCTATTCTATTATCTATCTATCTATCTATCTACCATTCTCTATCTATCTATTTCTATCTCTATCCCTTCTAATCTATTCTCGTCTATCAACTATCTCTGCTATCTATCCTATCTCATCTATCTATCTATTTCTATCTATCTCTATCTCTCATTCTCTATCTATCTAGTCTCTATCTATCTATTGCTTATCTATCTTATCTATATTCTATCTATCTCTATATCTACTATCTATCTATATCTATAGTCTCTATCTTATCTATCTATCTCTATCCTATTCATCTATCTGGCTCTATCTCTATTCTATCTATATCTATGCATATGTGTGTGTGCGCGCGGTGTGTTGTGTGTCGTTGTATGATACTGAAGATAATGTCTGATATTCCACTTTCTTTCTCGCCTAATTTAGATGTAATTAGGAAGAAAAAGAAGAAGAAAAGAATCTTTATGTTTCCTTTTTTTCTTTTTTTCGTGTCCGCATTTTCGGTTGTATGTGTATGTGTGGGCGTTGGCTCTTGTCTGTGTATGTTTGCTGTTTTTATTTTGAAATACAGGGAAATTGGGTAGGGAACATCCTTTATTTACATGTGGCATTTAAAGCGTATCGAAATTGTTAGGAAGAATACTATTCGCTGTCACTGCAACCACTATATGTGGACGTGTGTATACCTCCAGAACGCGTAAGTGTGCAGAATGATCTCCCTACACCATAACTTTAGTTGTAAAAGA